ATCATTATGTTGTGTGATTTTGTAGTAGGACAGCTGGTAGCCTAAGCTACCTGTGGATGTACTATGTTTGTGTGTCTGTAGTAACGAAGCTGCGGTAGCCTTAAGATTACCTGGACTGTCTATGTTTGTACTTGTTTGTCAATTAGGAAGCTGCGGTATGCCTAAGTACCCTGCACTGTCTAGTGTTTGTGTGTTCTGTAGTAAGCGAAAGCTGCCGTAGCTAAGTACCTTGGACTGCCTATGTTTTGTTGTGTCTGTAGTAAGAAGCTGCGTAGGCTTAGAGTACCTGTACTGTCTATGTTTTGGCGACTTTGGTGTGTTTGCTAGTAGAAGCTGGTAGCCTAAGCCTACCCTTTGCGACTGCCTTATGTTTAGTCGCGTGTTCTGTAGTAAATAAGTATAGCTCGGTATCTAAGCCTACCTGGACTGTCTATGTTTGTAGTGTGGTGTAGCTAGGAAAGTCTGTAGCCTAAGCTACCTGCACTGTCTGTGTTTGTGTTGGTGTAGTTAGGAACGGCTCGTGTAGCTACAGTACCTGACTTGCCCTCATGTTTGTGTGCCGTGGTGAGTGAGTTCTGTTAAGTTTAAGCAAGCCTGGTAGCCCTAAGTACCCTGACGTCCATAAACATGTTTTGCTGATGTATTTGCAGTAAGAAAGCTGCGTAGCTAAGCTAACGCTGGGACTGGTCTTATGTATATGTGGCTGTTTGCAGTAAGAAGCCTGGGCTAGCTAAGTACCTGGGACTGACTCTCATGTTCGTGTGTCGTTGGTGTACCATAAGCAAGCTGGTAGTATAGTACCTGCTGACTTTCTATGCTTTGTGTGTGCCAGCTTAAGAAGCTGCCGTAGCTAAGTAGTCTAGGACTGTCGTATGTTTGTGTAGTTGTGCAGTAGAGGAAGTCTTGCTGGTAGCCCTAGGGTGAACCTGGAGCTGTCTATGTTTGAGTGGCGCTGTTTGCGCCCAAGTAAAGAAAGCTGGCAGCTCAAGTACGATGGACTGCCTATGTTTTGTGTGTTGTGCTAAGAAGCCATGGTAAGCTAAGTACCTCGGACTGTCTATGTTTAGTGTGTTTGTAGCTAGAGAGAAATGGTAGAACCTACAGTACCTCGCATCTGCTTCTATGTTTGTGGTTTGGCTAGGTAAGACAGCTGGTAAGCCTAAGTACGACTAGGACGTGAATCTGATATGTTAGTGTGTTTGCAGTAACGAAGTGCTGGTTTAGCTAAAGTACCTTGGCGACTGTCTATGCTTTGTGTGTTAATGCAGTATAGAAGCCTTGCCGGTAGCCTAAGTACGATCTTGTGAGCATGTCTATTATGTTTGTGCGTATGTCTCTGCTAGTAAGCAAGACTGGTTAGCTAAGCTACCTGGACTGTCTATGCTTTGTGTTTTAGTAGGAAGCTTGGTAGCCTAAGTACCTTGGATCTGCCTTATGTTTGTGTCGTTTGTCAGTAAGAAGCCTGAGTAGCCCATAAGTGTACCTGGACTGTCTATGTTTGTGTGTTCTTGCCAGTAAGATAGCTGCTAGCTACCAAGTATCTGGACTGTCTATGTTTGTGCTTGTTTGCCCAGTAAGCAAGCCTGTACGCCCTAAGTACCTTGACATGTCTATGGTTTGTGTCGTTGCATGTAAGAAGCTGGTAGCTAAGCTACCTGGACTGCCTATGTTTGTGTGTTTGCCTACGTAAGAGCTGGCTAGCTAAGTACCTGGCACTGTCTATGTTTGTGTGTTTGCTCAAGCTAAGAGCTGGCTAGCTAAGTACCTGGACTCTTCTATGTTTGTGTGTTTGTAGTAGGGAAGCTGAGGTAGCTAAGTACCTGACTGCCTATGGTTTGTCTGTGTTTGTAGTAAGAAGCTGGTAGCTAAAGTACGCTCCTGGTACTGTCTATGGGTTGTATGTGTTATGCCAGTAAGAAAGCTGGTAGAATAAGTACCTGGACTGCCTAACTGTTTGTTGTGTTGTAGTAAGAAGCTGTAGCCTAAGTACCTGGCACTGTCTATTTTGTGTGTTTTTAGTAGGAATGCTCGGCCCGGTAGCTCAAGTACCCGCGCGGACTGTCTCCCTATGTTGTGTGTTTATTTAGTGATGGTGAAGGGAAGCTGGGTAAGCTAGAATAGTAGCCTGGGCAGACAGCCGCGATGGGCACTTACTGTTTGTGTGGTCGATTGTTTATGTTAGTAAGAGCCTTGCGTAGCCTAGTAGTACCTGGGACTGTCGCTTCATGTTTGTAAATGTTGTTTGCAGTAAGATAGGCTGGAGTCGAGCGTAAAGTACCTGTGGCGTGCCGAGAACTTGCTATGTTTGTGTCGGTTTCGTAGTAAGGAAGCTGGCTAGCTCAAGATACCTGGACTGTCTATGTTTGTGGACTGTTATGGTGTTAGTCAGGAAAGCTGGTAAGCTAAGTACAACTGCGACTGGTCCTATGTTGTGTGTCTTTGCTAGTAGGAAGCTGGTAGGGCTGACAAGTACCTGTGACCTGGTCTTATGGTTTGTGTGTTATGCATGAAGAAGTCTGAAGCGTAAGCTACGAGCATGCGCCTGTAAACTGCCTCAGATAGTTTTGGTGTGTTATGTAGTATAGCAAGCTGCGTAATGCCCTATATATCAGATTACTGGCACTGTGCTCGATGATTTCGCTGTCCGTAATTAACAGCTAAGAAGTCTGGTAAGTCCTTAGAGTACCTCGACTGCCTATGTTTGTGTGTTCCCTGTAGTAAGAATGCTGCGACGTAGCTAAGCTACGACTGGACTGTATAAGATTATGTCGATTTCTCCATTTCCGATTTTCAGGTAGGTTGTTGTAGTAAGAAGCTAGGGCTAGCTAAGTACCTGCGACTGCTCTTATGTTTGTGGATCTTACCTTCTGAGCAATCGTTTGCGAGAGTAAACGAAGCTGGTAGCTAAAGTACCTGGGAAGCTGTCTATGCTTTGTGGTTGTGTTTTGCAGGTTAAGAAAGCCTCGCCGTATGCTAAGTACCTGCGAATCTGCCTATGTTTTGCGAATGCTGTGTTCTGTAGTATAGAAGTTGGTAACCTAAGTGTAGCCTGGACTTGTCTATGTTTGCTGTGTTTAGTACGTAAGAAGCTGTATGTCCCTAAGTACCTGCGAGAAACTGAACACTATGTTTCGTGTGTTGACTGTTAGCTCAAGAAGCCGGGATAGCTACGAGTACACATGGACTGTTCCTAATGTAGTGTGAGGTTACTGCAGTACGACAGCTGGCTTAGCTAAGCTATCTGGACTGTCTGATGTATTGTGGATGCTTTTGTAGTAAGAAGCTGGTAGCTAAGTATCTGGACTGTCTCAATGTTTTGTGTGTTGTTTAGTAAGAAGCCTCGAGGTAGCTAAGTACTGCAATATAGGACTGTCATATGTATATGTTGATGTTTGCGATAAGTAAGGAGCTGGCTAGCCCGTAAGTACCTGCGACTGTCTAGACCTGGCTTGCGATGTTTGTTGTGTTTAGTAGAATAGAGAGTAAGCTGATAGGAGTTAACCTGAACTGCTTTACATATAGTTTGTGTGATTGTGAGATAAGAAGCGTGGATAGCTAGAGCAGCTATGCACGTAGGCTGTCTATGTGTTTGTGTCTTTGCAGTAAAAGCTGCGCTAGCCTAGAAGTGACCTGGACTGTCTAGCTTTCGTGTCTTATGTTCTGTTAGTACAGAAGAACTCTGCGTATACTATGGATGAACCTGGACTGTTCTATGTTTGTGTGTTTGCAGTAGCGCTAAGAAGTGCGCTAAAAGCTAAGTACCATTGCCGATGCTCATGTTTGTGAGAGATTGTTTGTGAGTGATAAGAAGCTGCGTAGTCTATAAAGTACCTGACGTGAGTCTATGTTTGTGAGAGTGTGTGTCTGTTAGTAAGTAATGCGGTACGACTAAGTACCTGGGACTGTCTATGTTTGTCGTGTTTCTGTAAGTAAGAAGCTGGTAGCTAAACAGTACGACTGTGACTGTCTATGTTTGTGTGTTCGATGTAGATAGTAGAAAGCTGCGTAGCCTATAGTACGGGATGTGGAACTGTCTATGTTGTGTGTTATGCAGTAAGAAGCTGGGTAGCTAAGTACCTGGTGACTGTTAGTGTTTGTGTGTTTGCAGTAAGCAAGCTGGTACGGCTAAGTACCTACTGTCTATGTTGCTGTGTTTTGCAGAGGCTAAGAAAAGCGTGGCTCAGCAAGAACTACGCCTGCCTCAGCGTAAGCGGGCGAGCAGACGATTAACCAGCAAGTCGAGCGAATGGGATATGCACGGCCTTTGACGCTCGCATTTCTCATCGTGTGAGGTGACAGCCCTGTGTCCTTGTCGCGTCTTATGCACGGCTTGTGTCTCTGTCGCGTTATGTCGTGCTGTGTCGTGTCGCCGTTATTGGAGTCGACCGCCAGTCGAAACCTGGCTCTCATAGACGTATCGGAGCCGTAGAATATGAGTCGTTGCTGTCGCGTAGAGTGTTCGATACGCGTGAGATTCGATGTCACGCGACAGAGAGAGAAGAGACATACGAGAGTCGAGTCGATTCCCGGATACTGAATGAGTTGTCCGATGTTCGTCCGAGAGCGAGTATTTTATTGCACGCTACGAGGGACAAAGGAAAAGAGAGACTGCAAAGAGACCTAGCTGTCCTCTGTCGCGTTAGTGTCATTGCTGTAGTCCTGCGATCGCGTGATGTAGTGCTCACTGCTGTGTTTCTGTCGGCAATGGACTAGTGCATCGGATCTCGACTTGTGTCGCCTCATGTTCCAGGCCGTGAGTTTGAGTCTATGTATCGAACCGCAGAGGCATACATACGATAAGAATTCGAGAAGTGATTCAGAACGGAGGTATGCACTCTCCGTGAGTGCCCTCTGTCTAGTTCTCTTTGTATCACTCACACACACACTCTCTCTCTCTGTTGTGTGTGTTCTCTCTGACTCTCTCTCTCGCCCTCTCTCCTTCTCTCTCGCCCTGCCCTCCTCTCTTCTCTCTCTTTCACTCTCTCAGTAACAAGACATGCTTACCCGTGATAAACAGCCTGCATGAGAGCCGTCCAATGGCTCACCTTGTCTTGCTTGTTCACATCCGCACCTCTCTGCACCTGTTGACGAGACATCGTTAACGATCACGCGCCTAACGAGGATGCTGACGACAGCTCTCGGACAGACAACAGCGATAGCCGACGTCTAAACCCAGACTTAAATCTTAACTTTAATTAATTAATAACGTAATTAACATTTAATCAACTTAATTAAAGTAAATTGAACTTTTAATCGGCACGTTTGAGATTTGAACGCACGGCCGAACGTGGCGCGGCACCTGCGTTTTACTTTTCTTTTGAAAGCGAAGATGAGGATCGAGGAGAGAGACAAGAGGGATGTTCGGAGTAAAGAGGGGGAGCCGCGAGGAGAGAGGCGAGAGGGATGTTTGGAGTAAAGATAGGGAGCCGCGAGGAGAGAGGCGAGAATGATGTTGGAGTACAGAGGGAAGCCGCGAGGAGAGAGGCGAGAGAGATGTTCGGAGTAAAGAGGGGGAGCCGCCAGGAGAGAGGCGAGAGAGATATTCGGAGTAAAGAGGGGGAGCCGCAAGGAGAGAGGCGAGAGAGATGTTCGGAGTAAAGAGGGGGAGCCGCCAGGAGAGAGGCGAGAGAGATGTTCGGAGTAAAGAGGGGGAGCCGCGAGGAGAGAGGCGAGAGAGATGTTCGGAGTAAAGAGGGGGAGCCGCCAGGAGAGAGACGAGAGGAATGTTTGGAGTAAAGAGCGGCGCGCGCGACTCACCAGCAGTTCGACGATGTCCTGCTTGCCTAACATGGCGGCGAACATGAGAGCGGTGGCGCCATCTTTGTCGACGCAGTTCACCTGTAGCGGGTCGTTGTCAAGGATTCGCACGACGGTCTTCAGGTCCCCGGCCTTCGCAGAGTCGATTATGTCCGGCTTCGTGTCCTTCTTATCTGAGCGTCGACGACATAAAAAAACAAGCGCACGTCCGCGTAAACCTGATTGCAGACAAACAAGCGCACGTCCGCGTAAACCTGATTGCAGACAAACAAGCGCACGTCCGCGTAAACCTGATTGCAGACAAACAAGCGCACGTCCGCGTAAACCTGATTGCAGACAAACAGCCATTTAAATGTACGGAAAAAAAGAAAAATTTCAACGGAAAACGGAACTCTAGGACTAGGATCCTCTTCGATCGTATCTTATTCAGCCAGCGCGTCGATTAATTAAAACTAATGAAGCCATTTATAATAATTGCTATCGGGATTGGGTTAGGTGTTTAGGATTTAGCTTGTTGTTATGGCTAAGCTTAGTCTGGAGGATTAGTGTTAGGGATAATCGAACCATCAATGATAATTGTTAGGATTCGGGGGTTCGAGATTTATCGAACCATCTATGATAATCACTATCGCCCCGCCCTCCTCCCCGCGCCGCACCTTTCTTCGGCCGGTGCGTCGTCTTCCTCTCCAGGTAGCCCTGCACCTCCTTGCAGTGTCGCTCGCGGGCGAGGTCGAGGGCCGTACGCTCGCACACGTCCGTCGCGTTCGCGTCGCAGCCTCGCTCCACCAGCAGCTGACACGTCGTCATGTGACCGTTCTGCGCCGCCGCCATCAGCGCCGACGCTCCCGTCGACAGCATGCGGTGCGCCGCGTCGCCGCCGCCGCGGTCCAGCAGCAGACGCGCGACGGGGTCCGCGCCGTGCGTCGCCGCGGCGACGAGGGCCGTGAACTCGCATGCGGCGCCGCACGGGTCGGGGTCTGCGCCGGCGTCGAGGAGGAGGCGGACGACAGACACGTGGCCGCCGCGAGCCGCCAGCGCGAGCGCGGACGCCCCCAGCAGGTTGCGCCGGTCGGCGTCGGCCTTGTGCTGGAGGAGGAGAGCGACGACGGGGTGGTGGCCGGCGCGCGCCGCCTGCATGAGCGCGGACCAGCCGTAAGCGTTCGCGCGATCCAGCGCCGCGCCGCGCATCAGCAGCAGCCGCGCGATCTCCTCGCGACCGTTAGCCGCCGCTGTCTGCAGCGGCGTCGCCCCCTCGTGGTCGGCGGCGTCTACGGCGGCGCCCTCATCGAGGAGGGAGCGCACGAGGGAGACGTCGCCGCTCTCGCTCGCCGCGAGCATCTGCTGTAGCGTCGTCATGGCGATGGTGGTTGTGACGCGCTGCGGGGAGAGAATAGACGCGAAAATCGCTTTACGCGTGCGCGTCAAGAAGTGCGGTATTATTTAATAACATATAAACTAATACTACTAGTAATAGCAACAGTTATTGGTTAACACTAACGCTGTATTAAACAGTGTGAGTGAGCAGCACTGTAAGTGTGAATTCGGTTAATAATATCGCGGAAATAGTACTCATTATACTATTTTAGTAACACCCATATGATAAAATAGGCTGCTTTGCAAATAATTGCATGGCAATCATGAGTAATTTCGTAAGTTTAACTCTGTTTTGATATCATTCAAACGTTACCTAGGCTATAATATTGAACCACGAAATGCACTACATTTTCCAATGTCAAAACAGCTGCTAGGTGGCAGCACACGCGGATACATTCGTCCGTGTTTTCTACGGTAAATTATTACTATTTGATAATTATTACGTACGTCTTTTTCCTTCTCTCACAACTAATATGAATATTTGTACTGTTTTATATTAGTATATCCTATTATTATCTGTACACTACGTTTATAAGGAAAACTGCGCAAGTACAAGAGAGGGCATCATGTTTTCGGCAGCGCTAACAAAGATGTCAACAAGAATTTTCGTCTGGCGAAATCGGATGTGAGCTTGTGGCGTAAAACCACTTTCTGGTTTGATCTGCACGTATCACGATTCGGATTGCACATCGATCACCGCTAACTGCCATCGAATGTCAACCGATGCCGTAAAAAGTAAGTTTATTTTATTCTACGCCATAGGCATTGACATTAATACAGGCGATCATACGTTGTCGTTGTTTCCGTTGACATTGTTCAAGTATTTTCTAGTGTTTACAAAGTAAGTGAAGTGTACGGGTTCACTCGGGTTAAGATTAGTCCACACTTCAAGTGAGAGATTAGATTAATGATGTGGATTTATCGCTATCGCATCCTCAGCCTAACATATATATTTGCAGTGTGCGTGTGGCTGCGGCGGGGTCGACTCGAATTACTCTTGAGGGAAAATGAATTTCGCCCGGTGAACCAGAAAGAGAGAGAGAGAGAGAGAGAGAGACAGGGGGCAGAGAAAGGGAGAGAGAGAGCGAGGCAGAGCGAGAGAGAGGAGAGTGAGGTAGGGTGAGAGAGGCAGATTGCTCGAGAGACAGAGAAAGAGAGGGAGAGAGAGAGAGAGAGAGAGAGAGAGAGAGAGAGAGAGAGAGAAGAAGAGAGAGAGAGAGAGAGAGAGAGAGAGAGAGAGAGAGAGAGGAAGAGAAGAGAAAAAAAAGAGAGCGAGGAGAGAGATAGAGAGAGGGGGGGGGGAGAGCGAGCGAGCCAAATATTCACTCCTGATAATATAATAGGTCATGTGACTATTTGCAATGCTAAAGTACTGAAACAAGAGTAACTAGACAGACGTCTCTCTCTAACTCAGATTATGTAGGGAGAGGGAGAGACGTAGCTAGTCTGCTTTCTCAGCTAGTCAGGGTTCTCCAAGAGCACTTATAGCCTGGCGGCCCGCCAGGCTATCGTCGAGCCCCGCCATCCTAAAATGCACCCATCACTCTAAATGTCATAGCCCCCAGGCCCCTTAGCACGCAAACCGCCTTCGGCAGGGGCGTGTACAGGGGGAGGTCCAGGGGGTCCGGACCCCCCTGCTCGTGCAGAAAAACGCATCTGAGGGGGTCTAATTTCAAAATGTTGATCCCCCCTTTCGCGTGCTTGCAAGTTTGGGTTACGGTTAGACTCCCTCCCCCCCTGGTACAAATCCTGTACACGCCCCTGTTCGGCGATTTGCAACTAGGACCGTAAAGGCAGCACCCGCCATGCTATAATGAAAAAGCTTGGAGAACCCTGCTAGTGTAGCAATAAATGGCACAATCTATCATCGCCATGTACAACAAAACATGAAAGTGATAGTCAGAAGGAGCTATTCGCTGCATTTGCTGAATCACGCTGGGCTAGTGAGTGATCCACGGTTCGGTTCGTGTCGCATCATGCGGAGAGTGGGAGAATCGTGATGCAGCCATAAATCTCGCTATGCGTACTCGTATTCGAGTTGTACGCGATGAAGGTTTAATGATAAATAATGACAGGAATTATCGAAGGGCGATGGGTGTTGGTTGGGCGCGCACGATCGTCCGTGTGTGTGTGTGTGTGCGTGCGTGCGTGCGTGTGCACATACATGTACGTGCGTGCGTGCATGTGTGTTGATGAAAGCTTCAGCAAATAGTCGTACCATCTGCCTGCTGTTTCTTCACAACGAATAGCGATATTTGTTCAGGGCTCCATTGTCAGAAGCAAAAATTAGTTTTACCATTAGCCTCAACGTGAACTTTTTCTCATAGAGACCGTACGTCTGTACGCTGCGTGCATGTGAAACTCGTAAAACACGTTTCTGTCTATGAGAAAAAGTTCACGTTTAGACCGATGACGAGACCAATTCTGTTTCCGACGACGGACCCCCAATTTGCGCTTGTAGTTTTCCCCGGGAATGCTGTTTCCCCACATGGGCGACTCCCCTCTCTGTCGCTCGGAAGGAGCGGGTTCCCATGGTGCATATCGTGATCTCGAATTTCGATATTTTTCGACTTCTCGTCGATGCCCCGTCTCTCGTCGCATCGTCAATGTTCTGTGACATTCTGCCGGGAATCTGGCCTCTACTACGTGACGTTGCCATTGGTCTAGCCTGCAAAATTTAATTCAGTGGCTACGACGGAATTGTTGAAAACTTTGGACGGTCTATCCGTCGTCGTCGTCGTCGTCGTCGTCGCTGCGCGTTGTTTCTGCGTTGTTCTGCTGTGCGTCGACACAGTGGTTGCCACTGTTATCTACTGTGACGACTCGTCGGCCGTGCGTCAACCGAGCGAGAGAGAGAGATCCGCCGTTACCTCCTCCCCCTCCTCTTCCCCTCCCCACCCCTTTCTCCCCTGCGAGAGAGAGACGAGAGATAGAGGAGAGGAGAGAGAGAGAGAGAGAGAGAGACGAGAGAGAGAGAGAGAGAGAGAGAGAGAGAGAGAGAGAGAGAGAGAGAGAGAGAGGAACGAGAGAGAGATGAAGAGAGAGGAGAGAGAGAGAGAGAGAGATAAAGAGAGTAGAGAGGAGAGAGAGAGAGAGAGAAAAAACAAGAGAGAGAGATGAGAGAGAGGAAGAGAGAGAGATGGGGGGAGAGAGGGAGAGAGCGGCGAGAGAGAGAAAGAGAGAGAGAGAGGAAGAGAGAGAGATGGGGGGGAGAGAGGGAGAGAGAGAGCGCGAGAGGAGAGAGGAGACCGAGAGAGAGAGAGACGAGAGAGGAGAGCAGAGAAAATGAGAGAGAGAAGAGAGTAAGAGAGAGAGAGAAGAGAGAGAGAGAGGAGAGAGAGAGAGAGAGAGGCGGGGAGAAAGGCAAGAGAAAGCGAGAACGAAGAGGAGAGAGAGAAAGAGAAGAGAGAAGAGAGAGAAGAGAGATAGGAAGAGAGGTGAGAGGAAAGGGAAGAGAGGGAGAGCAGAGAGAGAGGGAGAGATGAGAGAGAGAGAGAGAGAGAGAGAGGAGAGAGAGGGAAGAGGGGGAGAGAGAGAAAGAGAGAGAGAGAGATAGAGAGGAGAGAGAGAGCAGCAAGAGAAAGAAAAGAGTAGAGAGAGAAAGAGCGAGAGAGTAGAAAGAGCACGAGGCGATGAAAAAGGAGAAAAAGCGAGTGAGCAGAGAGAGAGAGAGAGAGAGAGAGAGGAGAGAGAGAAGAGGAGCGAGACGGAGAGAAGAGAGAGAGAGAGAAGCACGAGAGCAGAGGAGAGACGAGAGAGAGAGAAGCTCAGCTAACTGTAAGGGGCTGCGACTCGTATCCTTCTATGGGCTCATCAAAAACCACTCCCTTCCCTTCTCGCGCGATGACGAACCGGGGTGAGCGGGCTGACGGGGGATGACGGGGGGATGAGCAGGATGTATGGGAGTAGACGGGGTGACAGGATGACGGGGGTGACGGGAGTGACAGGAATGACGGGGCTGAACGGAGGGGTGACAGGATGACTGGGGGATGACGGGATGACGGATGACTGGGGGATCTGACGGGGGTGACCAGGATGGACGGGGGATGACGGGATGACGGGATGACGCGATGAACAGATGACGGGATGACGGGAATACGGGGTGACGGGATGACGGGGGTGAACGGGTGCACGGGGGATGACAGGATGATGGAGTGACGGGAGATGACGGGGGTGAGGGTGACAGGGATGCACGGGGGATGACGGCGATGACAGGATGCCGCGGGTGGACGGGGGACAGGATGAACGGGGGATCACGGGGGATGACGGGGGATGAACCGGGGTGACCAGGATGACGGGGGATGAACGGGATGACGGGGTGACGGGGATACGGCGGTGACGGGAATGACGGGGGGTTACGGGACGGGGACTGACGGGGATGACGGGAGACTGACGGGGGTTGACAGGGGTGATGACGGGGTGACGGGGATGACGGGGGATGACGGATATGACGGGGGGTGACGGTGATTGACAGGATCGACCGGCAAAGACAGGGTGAACGGGAGATGACGGATGACGGGTGACGGGGCGCTGCACAGAGAACCCGAAGAGGTACACAGGTAGAGGTACGATTGCCTCGTGACCCAACTAACAATACACCTATCAGGAGTTTTTTCGGCTACTAATTAACGTATTTTTCACTTACATCTGGAATTAAAATCCCGTAGTTCTGTTCGCCGCACGCGTTGCCTAGCGTGCACAGTTTAACTGGCTTAAGCGGGGTTGCACTAATACTATGTCCACCACAGTTCACTGATCCAACAAACTTGTTTAACGAGGGGTACATAACTAATCTAGTCGTGCTCGCATTCAGAAGTCACAACAACACGTGCTTAACGGGGGTTGCACTAATCTACGGTCAACATTTACTGGCTTAAGCGGGGGGTTGACTAATCATCCGTGCTTCACACTTCACCATGCTTCACGGGGGTTGCACTAACTATCGTGTCACACACTGCTTAACGGGGAGGTTGGACTAATTACTTCGTGTCACTATTCAGACAGTTAACGGGGGGTTGCACTATATCTCTCGGCGCTGTCCAACCACTGGCTTGTAACGTTGCGGTTGCACTATCTAACTGTGCACATTACGCTTAACGGGGTTGCAACTATGAAATCTACATCGTCACATTCAACACTGCTTAAACCGGGGGTTGCAACTAATCTATCGTAAAACATCACTGCTTAACGGCGAGGTTTGGCACTAATCTATCGGTCACATTCCTGCTTAACGGGGGTTGCACTAATTTCGTCACATTCACTGCTTAACGGGAGGTGCAGCACTTAATCTTATCTTTTTTCACATTTACTGCTTAATGTGGGTTGCATCTATCTATCGTCACATTAACTGCTTAACGAGGGGCTTGCACATAATGTATC